CCCCACTGATCATTATTTAGACAGTTTGAAATCTACACTATCCCATGATCCTTCCATGGGCACATATGTTTCAGCTTTTTTGGCCCAGTGGTTCCTGAGAAGAAGATTTTCAAAGATTTTTTCCTATATATTTCTATGTAAAACTTTGATTCCCCATTGTGGCCCCGCCCTTCCCCCGGGGGTCATTATTTGAACAATTCAGAATCAACACTACCCCAGAATGCTTCCACATAAGCTTCAGCTTTTCTGGCCAAGTGGTTCTTCAGAAGAAGATTTAAAAGATTTTCCCTATATATTTCTATATAAAACTTTGATTCCCCATTGTGGCCCCGCCCTTCTCCCGGGGGTCATGATGTGAACAATTTAGATTCTACACTATACCAGGATCTTTCCACATAAGTTTCAGCTTTTCTGGCCCAGTGGTTCTTGAGAAGAAGATTTTCAAAGATTTTTCCTATATATTTCTATATAAAACTTTGATTCCCCATTGTGGCCCCGCCCTTCCCCCGGGGGTCATTATTTGAACAATTTAGAATCTACACTATACCAGGATGCTTCCACATAAGTTTCAGCTTTTCTGGCCCAGTGGTTCTTGAGAAGATGATTTTCAAAGATTTTTCCTATATATTTCTATGTAAAACTTTGATACCCCATTGTGGTCCCGCCCTTCCCCCGGGGGTCATGTTGTGAACAATTTAGAATCTACACTATACCAGGATGCTTCCACATAAGTTTCAGCTTTTCTGGCCTAGTGGTTCTTGAGAAGAAGATTTTCAAAGATTTTTCCCATATATTTCTATGTAAAACTTTGATTCCCCATTGTGGTCCCGCCCTACCCCCGGGGGGTCATGATTCGAACAATTTAGAATCTACACTACCCCAAGATCCTTCCACATAAGTTTCAGCTTTTCTGGCCAAGTGGTTCTTGAGAAGAAGATTTTAAAAGATTTTTCCTATATATTTCTATATAAAACTTTGATTCCCCATTGTGGCCCCGCCCTTCCCCCAGGGGTCATGATTTGAACAATTTAGAATTTACACTACCCCAGGATGCTTCCACATAAGTTTCAGCTTTACTGGCCCAGTGGTTCTTGAGAAGAAGATTTTTTAATGACCCAACCATATTTTTGTCTTTTCTTGATTATCTCCCCTTGCAAGGGGATATGTCCCTTCATTTTAACAATTTATATTCCCCTTCACCCAAGGATGCTTTGTACCAAGTTTGGTCAAAATTGGCCCAGTGGTTCTTGAGAAGAAGTCGAAAATGTGAAAAGTTTACAGACGGACAGACAGACGGACAGACAGACAGACAGACAGACGGACAGACAGACGGACAGACAGACGGACGGACGACGGACAAAATGTGATCAGAAAAGCTCACTTGAGCCTTCGGCTCAGGTGAGCTAAAAACGGATTTCCAAAACTTCGAGAGGGATTCCTTCTGTGTTACTAGATCATAATTACGAATCCGGTCATACGTGCGAACACAATCCCTGTGAAGACCCAAAATGCCCCCCCCCCCTTTTTTTTTAAAAAGTAAAACTATTTAAATACGCAGAAAGAGGGGGTTGGAGGGAAGGCCGAAGGATTGTTGAACTTTGGGTTCTTTAGCGAGTCTGAAGAGTTGTCAATACTGTAAACTTGAGTTTGTGCCACTAACACATCTAAACGTTGTTGGAGAGTTGAGGAAAGGGTTTGGTGGCTTTCTGTACGTGAAGTGTATGAATGCTGAATGTGTGTGTTTGTGGGGGGGGGGATGGTTCCATATGGAAAAACGCATAAACTGAATGCCCTGTTTTGTCATCAACACTAAACTTGGCACAGGTATGTGATAGGTACGATCAACTGGAGAGGAATCTGTTCTTGGTCCAATGATACATGACCCATGAGACGCCAGAGAGAAGCAGCATTTCCACCCGCACAGCTACTGTCTGTTAAAAGAGACCTATGGTACAGAGAGACCTGTGAAAGTAATCGGCTTAGGAGGATACTCACACCATGGCCATACATGAAATACATATTGTAATGCATTTACAGAATTTCCAATTCTGTCAGAGCAGTACTTACGCTCACTTACTTTTGGCATTGACCAGTAAAAACAAGCGGTGTTATATTCCTCTGAACATTTGATTGAAGAGAGTAGTCATATTCCTGTGTACATTTGAGTGAGAATTTTGTAGGTAAAAGCATGTCTAATAACCATCTTCGGTAGTTCCCAATGGCAATTTTATATATGAACAAACTGTGTTCATAATTACAGGCTACAAGGAAAGGAAAATGTTTTTATCGCCCACGCACTAAAAAAGGCATTGTGGCCAGAAATTACAGATGAGCTAAAGTATTCAGTTGCGCAGGGCCCCGTGGGGATCCGGGTTAGAATAGGTCCTCAGTATCCCCTTGCTTGTCGTAAAAGGCGACTAAATTGGGCGGTCCCTCGGATGAGACTGTACAGTACCCGCAACGTTATTCTTGACAATTCTCTAGTTTCTTATCTTGCGTGTATCCTATCGTATCGTGCGTGTATCCTATTAGGTTTTCCGTTTATTCTATCGTGTTTTGCGTTTATCAGGTTTTGCGTTTATCGGGTTTTGCGTTTATCAGGTTTTCTTTTCGTTTTCATTCTGAACAATGGCGCCGAAGTCGAAAGAAGGGAGAATATCAACTGCAGTAAAATTAGCGATCATTCGATACCGTGCAACTAATATGCCTATCCAGAACATTAGAGAAAGACTATGTGTTCACCACAACTGCATTACTAGTCGTCAGGGGATATATTCTTTCTTAGAACGCTGTTAATGTGGCTGAGGTTTTGTAAGGAAAACAAGGACTGTTTGAGGTATTTGGCGTTAAAGTACTAGTATCTTGCAGCCTTATAAGAAAAAGACGACAGGAGCTCGGATGGAAGATAGTAGTGTCCAAGACGTTAAGTATAGCTTTTTAGGTAATTCACGGTACACAGCTAAATTCAGTGATTGTATTGGACCTGATAGTCCTAAGTTTAACTTTTCCTGGCTTATTTAACGATTGCGAAGTTTTATTTAACTTAGACGAAAATCGCATTTTGTATCAGAAATCGATATTTACATCGCCGATCATAGTTTAGTTTTTATTTTAAACCAAAAGTTAGTTTTAAATCACTTACATATCTTTTTTCTTAGTAAGATCGTCTTACATTTCAGTTATATTTTCTGAATATCACGTCCTTCACACATATGCTTGTCACAAATTTTTATAAAAATTTTAAAATATTAATCAAAATTTGATGTCATCGCAAAGTCGATTTGGCACTATAAATTGAGAATGCGTGAAAAATGCCAGGAAAACGTCAGATATTTTGGACTTTGGACATAAATGATATTGAAATCTAATAATGTATAATTCATAGCTCGCGTTGCAGGAAAACTGATCACTCCTGGCTCATTCATAAATAACAAGAGGCCCATGGGCCTTATAGGTCACCTGAGTATCATGTAACAACTTTCCAGTGATTGAATTCGGTTCATATTTTAAGCCAGATGCTATGGCATTCACAATTTTGCTAATCATAACTATATACTTAATAATTGCTTAGCTTGGTTACTTAATACCCATAGGCAAGGTAGGGGGAAATTGCATTTAAACAAATCAGTAATATTCAGCAATAATCAGTAGTGCCCCTATGAACCCCTGACCCTATGTCCACACATTGCACAATTTTTGAAAAGACACCCTTGCTTATCAAAAATATTGATTAATACAAACTAACAGATTTCAAACAAAATATTTTTAGCATATAAGAGTAGAAGCCCCCCTCCCTATGGTACCCCTAACCATGGGGCCTTGAAATTCACAATTCTGGAAATAGGGCTCTTGCTCATCATAACTATACAAGTAGTTCATCTGCTTAATAACCTGGAGCAGAGAAGGACATTTTCAAAGAATTCATGTACATGTACAATTATTTTCACTATATAATCAAGAGTCCCACCCTAACACCAGAACCCCTAACCCTGTGGCCTTAAAATTCACAATTCTGGACGAGGCCCTTTTGGTCATTATAACTATGTATGTACTTAATTAGTTTATTTAATACCCAGGAGCAGAGAAGAAAATGTTCAAAGAATTCATGTATTTTCACGATATAATTTTATATAGAGAGACCCACCCTAACACCAGAACCCCTGACCCTGGGGCCATAAAATTCACAATTTTGGTAGAGTCACTCTTGCTCATCATTACTATGTGCTTAATTAGTTTATTTAATACCCAGGAGCAGAGAGGAAGATTTTCAAAGAATTCATGTATTTTCACTATATAATGAATAGAGAGCCCCGCCCTTACACCTGAACTCCTGACCCTGGGGCCATAAAATTCACAATTTTGGTAGAGGCACTCTTGTTCATCATAACTATGTATTTAGTTTGTTTATTTATTACCTAGGAGCAGAGAAAAAGATTTTCAAAGAAATAATGCATTTTTACTATATACTCGTTTTAGCCCTACCCTAGCTCTAGAACCCCTAACCCTGGGGCCATAAATTTCACAATTTTGGTAGAGGACTCAATGTTGATTACAATCATGCAAACAGTTTGATTGCTTGATGTCCAGGAGTGAAGAAGATTTTTAAAAATTGCACTAATTTTAGTGGTTTTGGCCCCAACCCTCACGCCCCAGGGGTCATGAAATTCACAAATTTTGTTCCCCTTCACCCATAGATGCTTTGTACTAAATTTGGTTGAAATTGGTTCAGTGGTTGCAGAGAAGAAGGTTAAAATGTTCAAACGTTTACGACCGACGTACGACGTACACCTGGGCCCGGTTTTTCAAAGGGTTGTTAAATTTAACACAGTGGTTAGGTTAACAACAGGTTAAATCCTAATCAAGTGATTAGCTAACGCAGTGGTTAAATTGTGTTGATCAAAAGCAATTTAACGCAATGGTTAACTAACACTGTGTTAACTGAGTTAATCACTTGGTAATCACTTGGTTACCCATAATGCACTTCTACTTCCTTTGTAAACATGGAGAGCACTGACCTCTGTTCTAAACCTAAGCGAGCTAGAAGCACCAATTTCAGCATAATGGAAATAAGCACCATACATAATGAGGTAAAACAAAATTCTATACTCGAGAGTAAGCACTCAAATACCGTGACAAATCAGAAAAAACAATCAGTTTGGAAGAGCATTACTGAGAAAGTAAATGCTGTGGGCACTGCTCATAGGACGGTTACGGAAGTAAAGGACAAATGGAGAAACATGTGTCGCGACGCCAAACAAAAGTTTGCCGAACACAAAAGAGAATCAAAGAAGACTGGAGGAGGCCCACCACCTACCCCTCTCTCCCAGACAGTGTCCGACATTGTGGACCTCTACAAGGACTCCAGTTCCTTTGTAGGCATTCCTGGGGGAATCGAGACCTCCATATGTGATCAAACAGGTGTAATATTTTATGACTTACTTTACAAAACATGTTTAGAAATACACTAAGATATAAAATAGGCTGGACCTACCTACTTTTATCTCATACCCCTACTTTTCATCTCATATGACATATCAATGTTTTTAAAAACAATGTTTCTCAATATAGATTCAATATTGAGATTAATATTAGGCCTAATGAATGTATTCTATGCAAAAATCACTTTACTTCACACGTCTTGTTTTATTCTTTCAATATTTCTATCAAATATAGGGGCCAATAAAATGTCGTCTGCTCAAGATTAAAAAATAGGCTTAGTTGTAGACGTTCGTGAAATATGAATTTTAGAAAATGTCCTTTCTTATGCTGTAAATCCTATGCTTATTTAATGAAAGAAAGGATATGGCAGTTTGATGAAAATCCAGCCACACATCTACGATCGATCTATTTTGCTTATATGAGACTATATTAAGAACGGCCTTGACCCCTTTTCACTTTTCAAACGAGAACCTGCTTTCGTATTTGAGTGCAGAAAATGTCTTTACGAATCGTAAACTAATAAAAACCAAAATAAGGATCAGTATTCAATGTTAAAACGTATTCAACAAGCTGCATTTTACCTCAATACCTCACATGTAAAACCAATTTCTCTAACAGCATGGCCAGAATCCATTCCTGGGTTTTCCCAATTTTAATGGTGCGTTTGATTGTGTCAAATACAGTAATAATGGACATTAATACATGTAATATATTGGTCAAATTATATTTATAAGATATTTAAAAAACAAAACAAAACATAAATTTAGTCTAGTAATTCATAAACTACAGTGTAATATAAAATAACTTGTTTATTAGTTTTTTTCTTCAGTAAAAACAGAAAAGGAGTGATTTTGAAGGGCTCCAAAACGTATGAACTAAACGCACATTTAGATAACTTGTTCGTAAAATCATTTGATATTGCCTACAGCAATTATGAATACATGTACAACAATAATTCAGACCAAAAATGATAACTGATGATTAAAAAAAATCATTAATATAAGAGAAAACTGGATTATTATATATGAAATATTTTTTATTAAAAAAGAATATAAATATGTATAGCTGTCTAAAGCACACCCCCCTTCTAATTTATTATTTCTAAATTGTTTTTTTTTTCTCTTTTTTCCTAATTTGAATTAACTCTTTTATCAATCATATAAATGTATATATAAAAAAAGTTGTATTATATCTGTTCCACAAAATTAAGTCCTTCTTTGAAATTTTTTTTTAAAAATATATTATATAATTTGTAAAGGTGGAAAATTCCAATCAAATTCAATAACTTTTTAATTTCAATAACTTTTTAATTTCAAATAACATGTTAATTTTAAACATTTTTTTTAAATTTTACATGTAGATCTGGCAAGTGAGAGCCAATTGCAACCTCCAAGAACTGGATCAAATCCATGTTTTATTGAACAAGGAGTCCCTACAGTTTCAAGCCATTGTACCATTGACCATGTAGACAGTAGTAATGCAGGTATTTGAAAAGATTTTTAAAAATAAATTCAGAAATAATAATGTCATTTTCTCATTTTTCAACATATTATTATTTGTCATGACTGTTACATTATTTTATACCATATGTCACTTTAAATCATATTGGTCTATTTTCTTAGCATCACCTGTCACCAGTTGTTCAACTCAAGTTCTAAGATCAGGGAGCCCAGACACAGCTTGTAGCAGCAATGCAGGTAGGTGTCGAATAACTTATAATTTCTTCAATGGTATTTTTTTTCAACATACAACTGAATATTACTCAGTACATTATTTTTCTTAATACATTTTCTCATAAAATAATTTATATAAGGACTTTGTTTATTATAAACAGCATTACCAGAGATGAATGACAGTGTTCTTGAAGATAAGCGCAGGAGTACAAATCACTCAAAGAAAGAGAAGTAAGCTTTTAGAAACAATATTTATTCACAGATGTTTATTAACCATAATTGTTATTTATTTACAACTGATTTCTTTTGATTTTTTAAAGCCCTAAAATATGTATACACATAAATGTCCTACATTTTTATTATATAAATAAATGTAAATGAACAAAAACATATAATAATTACAGTGGATTAAAAAAAAAAATACAAAAAACCGACACACGGTGTCACACAAATAACCAAAAAAACAGAAACCAGCTGGTCAAATTGTGGACACTATCACAGCTATGAACAATATATTTAAAGAACATGAACAATGAATATGATTATTTTGAACCAAAATCTTTTTAAAGGGCAACAACTCTACATTTTCTTTTCTAAATTCATTGTATAATATACAAATATGAAATGTTGAATGTATAATGCAAATCTAACTTGCAATAATACTGCAAATTTCATTCAAGACATTCATATACATCAAATATATGGTATAGGCTGCTGTATATATAGCATATATTTAAATAAAGTAAATGAACATTTTTAATAATCTTTATGTCAACTAATATAAAAGAATTAATTAATTTACATGCACAGTATTTTTATAAAGATGAAGTGAATATTATCAAACATGTAGATAACAATTGTTGTTTAAGAGTAAAATTAAGGTGATTATTAGTGAAAAACTTAATGCTCATACACTGTTGCAGCACAAAAAAAATGAAACTGATCTGATAATAATAATAATGATTGGATTTATATAGCGCTTTTCTAGCATAAATGCTACTCAAAGCGCTTTACAATCATTATTACCCCAGCAGACCTTAACAATCCAGAATCTTTCTCAGTGCAAGCTGCCGTAATCAGCGCTAGAACACTAACATTCTGACAATATCTTTCACTGTCTATAGCCAGGTACCCCTTTTACACTTGGGTGGAGTGAGGAAATTCGTGTAAAGTGCCTTTCCCAAGGACACAACGTCGACTTGCCGCGGCCAGGATTCGAACTCACAACCTTTCGGTTTGGAGTCCGGCACCTTAACCACTAGACTACCGACGCCGATCCCCCCCCCTCTCCGAATTATATAACTCCTGTAACATTTCATGTATCATAGATGATGCTTTGATTTTTAATAAATTTATATATAAGTTAGGTTTTAGACCAAAAGTTATCTATAATAATAAAGCAGGTCAGGGATTTCTAACAAAAATGTATATGTGATTTTAGGACCAGGTCTGAGAAAAAAAGTGCAGATGATGTATATGCCTTACAGTGTGCTGTTCTTGAAAAAGAACTGGAAAAAAACAATCTACAGATTGAATTACTGCATTTGTTGATCAAGAAAGCAAAGAAAGAGGATGAGGAGCTTCCACTTACATCAGTGTTTACTTTGTTGCCTTAAACTATGACATAAATATATTAATTCTCAGAAGTCAATCAAGCAAACATCTGTGCCCACTAGTGGACCTAAATGTTAAAGTAAATGCCAACCCCTGTAATATTTTGGACATTTTTTGTTATTTTGGAAATAAATACAAATTATAGATTAAGTAAATACATAGTTTTTAAAAACTTCATTAATAATTTAGATTAAGTATGCATTGATCATCTTTAAAAATGGACATATTTCTAATTACATTAAAAAAAGTATGTTTTGGAAAATCTAAAGTTTATTTTTGATAAAAGAAATAGTGTTGCAATTAGTTTTATGTAACTCAATCTATGCAATAACTAAAGTAATTAATGATGAGGCATTTTGAGACATGCAACTTTTATAGCCTGTGGCCTATTTTATGGGAGTGCATCTAGGAGGTATTGAACCTTTATTTATCCATGTGGAGATTTGAACTCAGGGTGTGTTATTAAACCAGTGGAACACTTTTGAATTGTTAATTATTTATCTATTTAATTGTTTATAATTATAGTTGTTAAAGTCTATTACATGTTGTGTATTTCATTTTTAAAGTTATTTAGTTTTGTTAAAGTCTAAATTACATGTACTGTATTTCATTTTTAAAGTTATATAGTTGTTAAAGTCTAAATTACATTTACTGTGACAATACATTGTAAGAACATGTGAACAAACTTCTTTTTACTGTACAATTGTTGATTAAATTATGAATATAATGGCATGTTTATGCTTCCCTTATCATTAGCAATGGATGTCTACAATGTAAGAGCATGGGTGAATTAATATAATTGTTCAACAGTTTATGCTCTTGAAAAATAATGCCTTGTCACGTACTCCCTTACACCGCGTCCATCTTGTTGTCCTTGGTAGGGAGGCTGGGGAGGCTGATCCTGATCTGGCTCATCCTCATCTTCTGGCTCACCAAGTGTAATGCAAATGTTGTGCAAGACTGCGCAGGCAATTACAATTCTGCAAACTCTGGGCGGTTTCATGCGTACCTATAAATAAAGCGGTTAATAATAGAATTATTGAAAGTAATTAATGTTAAGTATATGATCTGTTACATTGTCAAAATTTTTTTTATAAAAAGAGATAAACTTAATGCTAATTTACAAGTGAATTACATGTATCCATGAATCTCAACACTTATAAAATTTTCATGGCTTTCATGGTCAATTTAATTAACATAAAGTTTTACTTGCTACTTTAAAAACATAACTATCCTAATTCAGAATAAATAATCAAAATCCTAAGTAAGGTGTATAGGTCTTTATCAAAAGAGAATCAAGTTAATATTAAAACTTGATTTGTTATTTAAAACTGGGAGAAATCATTTTTGTACATGGAGATCAAATCAATTAATTGAATTAATATACCTCTGAGTGTAAGACATGAAACCTTCTTTTAAGGCGTCCAAAAGCTCTCTCTATTTGGCTGCGCGTTTGACCGTGAGCTCTGTTGAATCTCTCCTGTGCATCATTCTGGGGGTTGAGGTAAAGGGTCAATAAGAAAGGGCGGCAGGCATAACCGCTGTCTCCGAGGAGAATGCCATGATCAAAACCTCCTTTATCTCCATCTTCCATATAAGTCCTTATCTGTTTTTAAGATTTGAATTAATTAATATTTAGGAATTCAAATAATTACCCTCACCAAATCTATTCATTAAATTAAACCACATTATATGATACCAAGATTGAGTGAAAATTAATGTATAATTATAATCTAAAGCTAATTTAAATAGACCCAAGTTCAAGTTCATAATAATTAATACCCGTCACATGCTTACATTAATTAAATTAATTTAGCAGCTATATTAAGCTAAATTAAAATTCAATAAAGTTATATATATTACTTAGGAAACTTTGTAAAGTGGCAGGATTACATAAACATGTACAGTACATCTTGCATGGATCTATACTAAGAGGGCAGGGTTTAATGAGTCCAGAGAAAACCATCATACTGTAGATAAAGGAGATATTTTCAAAAGCAGGTGTACATCACTTGATTATTTAAAATTTCAAAGTCATGCCACTCTCTTCAGAAAAAAGTTTTTGGTATATGTGCTCTCTCTCTCTCTCCCTCTCTCTCTCAAGTGTCTCAGTTTGATGGTGATGAGCAGAAACCACAAATTTATTGTCATGTTTGTAGGTCTTGATAATAATCAACAGTCTGCTCTCTATTCTGTATATTATAAGATACATGGCCCTTAGGTTCAGGTTTCAGGGTAGAATTTTATTGCACATATATTGAATATACTGTACTTGAGCTTCTCAAATGAACAGGCCTTAAATGTTATCTACTGCCTAACATGTTATATTTTCCCCAATAGGCTTTAAAATGTTCATTTTTATTTCTTATTTCAACAGATACTTTTCCTGGAAGACTTTTTAGCTAAACAGACTTCCCATTTATCGGGATATTCAACTGGAGAAGTTGATACTTGAGTACGAGTACAAAACATCGTCAAGGTTTCGTTCTTTGAAATGTACGAAAGACTTTGGGAAGAATATAGGTAAATTTAGATATGTAAGTAAATAATCATTGTATTTGCAATGTTTGTTAGCATATCGTTAATGTGAAAGGTAAAATTGCACATATCTCTCATAGTTGAATTATTTAGTTTTCAATTACACCCCTATCACACAAAACTAGGGGGTATTAATATTAAAGCAATTATCTTAGCCATCTGTCTGTCTGTGAAATTGTGTCAAATCATTATAATACATGTATGTATAATGGATGAACATTATGATCTAATAGTAGTATAAATAAAAGATTATTTATTATGTTCCGAGGGTATGTCATGATTTTGACCCAAAACATTTGGGCTGCAAAGTTCATTGTCGCTAAAAGGAAAGGTACAAAATTTGTGTTTGGTCTACCGGTATACCTTCCTTACTGGAAAACTTCTGATGCTCCCACTTCTCAAATTGCTTATTACCTGTGAAAAATGCAAAAATGTAATAATTATTTTTTTCCTGGAATATAACCCTCAATAAGTTGTTGTTGGATCTCATGTGACCATCAAGGCTCGTGGGCCTCGAACTTTCGTTGAGCCTGCTATTGATTACTATTATTATTATTTAGGAGATATCTGTCCATCAACAGACTGGAAACAAACTATCCCTTAATCAGATCATCTCTGGGTTTCCAAAGCCCAATATTTCTTTTCTGTCAAGTAGGGAGAGTCGAGTTTAATATTGACAAAATAGATAGAGTGAAGTTTTATCCGTCCTTGTCCTGCACCTTAAAAGCCCGTGTAGACAGATATTTTTTACGCCCCTTGTTCCTCTGGGTGCAGAAGATTGTGGCTAATCATATTATATTGCCCTAAAGAAGGTTGCAACAGAGCTGAATTGACCTCGGTTGGGATTTACAACAAAGTGAGACAGGTCTTTGACATAAATGGATATTATTATAGCATTGCTGGAGAGACTTTTATATATCCTGCTTGCAAAAAAAAATGGTCGGCTCGATTTAGAAAATACTACAACAGTTGAAATAAGGACACCTGCTCCAATTGCCGTGCATCCTCACCTCCTTAATTAATTTCTTTAAAATTTGGCCATTTCGTTTCAATTTCTTTTATTATTATGATTAACGAACATGTTCTCACCAGTTGTGACTGGTATTAAGAAGATTTTAACCACAAGTTTCAAAAAATATTTACAAATTATGCGTTTTATTTTCATATATATTTTTTATTTAAAAAAATTTTAATATCTGGACGGCTTTTCTTTACATATTTTTTTTTAGGTTTTCATGTGATGCATTCATTACAGCATTTTTTTTTTTACAAGAAAGCATCTTATTTGGATGTAAATAATTTTACTCGTTCTTTGAAAAAATACATTAAAAAAATCGTATATAATAATTAAGAGCTAATATCGGCCTTTCAATGCTGAAACCATTGTTTTAAAAGGATGACTCAAAAATCTATGCAATAAAAAGTTGGTGTGGCATTCCACCTTAAGTGATATGTTTATTCATTTAAATACTAGTACCTTCATTTATCACATGCCCTGAATTTATTCCCTTGTCAATTAATATAACATGTTCACGCATCATTATTGTTGCGCACCACGTGCCCGTCTTCATTTTAATGAAAACAAAGAGAGACAATTCAAGCCCTCATGATTAAGTTGACAGAATTTCAGGGGACACGGATTAAAAAGAAGAAGAAGAAAGGGTCAATGTCTTGAAAACGGATATAATTTGAAGATTTCAATCTGTAATAATTAAGAATTGATCAGAAATTATGGCCCCATAAGAGGAACCAGGTAATTGACGGTGTTTGTATAATTTGTACATTAAGATTTACTTGTTTAATCCTAATCAATAAAAAAGTTCCCCAAAATACCAACGAGTGTCAGTACTAATTCTATAGCCTCCAGGTACTTAGCTTAATGGCAATGATAGCATACTCTCATTAAACGGTGTTAAAAATTAAGGCGGGGCGTTTTTTACTCCCCTTAATTTAACGCGTTAAAATTTTACGGATTTATAAAACTCCTAAAAATTTGTAAAAATGAGCAGCACGTTAAAAAATATCCGTTATACGGTATCACCTCCCTGCTTGGTTACATCCTGAAAATTGATTTCACCAAGAAGGTTGTCAAGAAATTGGCAGGCGAGAGTTCAAAGACAGGTATGTGGACAACTAATGTTGGGAATGAGTATGGTCAAGTAATCATGTCCGTACTTACAACTGGGGAAGGCTATGGACTAAGTCCAATGATTCATGGCTTGATAAGACGGTATAGAGAGGCAGAAGTCCAACCCTTTCATCTCCTCTGTGTTGACAGAGACTGCTGTGGAAATAACCAGCTGAGAAGAACGTTTGCCGACTGAACGGAGCTGTCAGTACGAATAGACATTTAATAATAATTATAATGATTGTTTTTATATAGCGCCTTCCTAGCATAAATGCTACAAAAAGCGCTTTACAATACATTATTACCCCCAGCAGACCATAACAATCCAGAATCTTTCTCAGTGCAAGCTGTCGTTAAGGCGCTAGAACACTATCATTCTGACAATATCTTTCACAGTCTTTGGCACTTCACGAGATGTCTATCCCATGCACTGAATGCCACCTTTATGTCTTGTCTCAGCCAGTGCATGTGGGATCCAGAAGACGTGGCAGTTTTGATCGCTGCAAAGAGGGCTGAGTTGGAAGTGTTACATATTGAAAACCAGACAGACAAAGATGTCTTTCGCCACATCAAAATTTGCAATGCACTGTAGAAGAACTACTCGAGGTATTGAGGAAACCATCCGCCTCATCACCCAGTTGATGAAGTCTCTTGATGGTGACAAAGGTCGAGACACCCATGAAGTGCGCCTTATTACCAGTGTTCGGATGGCAAAGATCTGGAAACAGCAACAGAAGCATGTGCAATGTATACAGGATCCTCCAAATGTCCAGTTATACACCCAGACTGGTGTTAGCGAGAAAATAAAAATTTATTTTTACTGTATCACAATACATACATGGTGATATGATTTAGGCATCATGAGACTTTGCAATCAATACGATCAATGAATCTATGTATTGTTACATCTCTTATCATAAAACGTTAAAAACATGCCAAATTCATTGAATTATTAAGTTTCTTTATCCCCGAATTACCACAGATCAAACTCCACCTCTAACAGAAGAATTGTCATCATTCGAGATGACACATGGGACATTGAACTAATGCTATTAGCAGACAAGGTCTCCCTGATTTCAACTGCTGGGCAGGAAGATGAAATCACAAGTGTTACTGTGGACCATTATACGAGTCACGTCTCCTTACACTCCAACATTTCCACAGCAGTAAAGGTAACATTCCAAATGTTACTATAATAATCAATAAATGTATTACCTAACCTGAAGTATAAACTTTCACTGAGCTTTTCTGATCATTTGTTGTCCAAATATCAGTCTTTTAACACTTCATTAAAGAATCACTGGGTCAATTTCAATTAAACGTCGTAACAAAAAGGCTACAGAAGCTGTCGACCAAAAAAGGTGAAACTTAATGTGGTTACTTCCTTGGGAAGCATTGATTCTTAGTTATAGAAATCATACCCCCCCCCCCTTTATGGGAAGAGTACGACCACACTACGAAATCCAAGTTCTACATGGAAATATATAATAGAGTGATATTTTATTGATTTTATTATGTGAAATTATTTTAATTATTTCAGTCACTTAATACTCACGCGTATTTTATATTATTTTACGAATCGCGCAACTTTTCGATACCCGCGGAGTTTTAGGCGCACTGTCAATAAATACAACATTAATTGGTTTTTAATTAACTTATGTTCGAGAAGTCGTTACTAACTTGACTTGAGGGTATTTTATAGGATTGGGCAGTTTTGATAACCAAGCTTGCGATTGTCTAGGGACGATTTCAAGCCGATCTCTTTGTTTAATCCCAGAAAGCTTTAGACCATATGAGAAAGATATACGTACATTATAGTACAGTGTTACATTTATGATAACATATTTATTATTATTGAGATGAGATCTCAGGGCAGAGACTGTAAGTTGACTTCTATTTCTATCTATTCTAATTGTATACTTTACGAT